TTTAGTGTTAGTATTAGTAGTATCCAAGATAAAAGTGAACATACATTTGGCAGAAGGCTTTAAAAAACTATTTGGTCTAATAGTATTTTAAAACCAGCTTGTCTAATGTGCAAAGGGGCACCTGAATTTATCTCTGGATCTCTCCCACCCTCCAAAGCAAGACAGTCCCACCTAAAGTGCCTGCTGAGAGTGGCCCCTGCTCAGGAATTGTTTGGGAGAGCTCTACCTGCCACTTACAGCTGTTAAAGGCCTTCCTACAAATTTAACAGTACCACTGTCCATCCGCCGTGCCCAGGACTGATCCCTGGCACTATGCACTGGCAACCATCCTCCTTCCTGTCTAATCAGTGTCTGATTATGAAATAAATCTGCATCTTTCAGGTTATAAGAGATGACCAGCAGTTCTAGAAGTATTAGCTTAGACTCTGACACAGCTTATACTACAGATGTCTATGAATTAATATATGCCTCCAAAACTCTCATTCATGATACCTTTGAATAGAAGATAAAAGGTCTTCTGTGGGCATTTAGTCAATACTTTATAAAACATTGACTTACTTATTTTTTCCAGTAAGATTTGATAAGAGACATCAAGCTTCAGCCCCTCTCCTTAGAGCAGGTTTCCAAATTTGTTTTGTTAATAAGCAATCAGCTAAGGAAATTGACACTCTGCTCTGGAGAGAGGCTCTCCTATTGTTTGATGGCTACATTGAGCAAACTATTCAAGTGGTAAAGGGGATCATCCAACCTGTAAATGCTTTTAAATGTCCCATCACAATATTATAATTGTTCCTAATAGAAATCTCAGGGGCTATAAAGACCTTGGATAGAATGTGACCCTCACACTGAAAATTTTCCTTCCATATCTGGCAGATCTCTGATTCTCATCCAGTTTTCTACATAGGGAATAAACAGCTATGTTCCCACACAGCAGGCCACAGCAGCTCTTTCACATGATATTTAACAGACATCTTATGGAAACCCCAATTTCACAAGGGAGAGGAGATTCAGTCAGGAGCATGTCTTCACTTTCTATGAAAGGAGGTATGTCACTCCTTTAATTGCCAAAGGTCCATATTAAAATAAATAATCTCCTGATCTATCTAACTGTTAACATCTTTCCCACCTCAAAGATGTCTAACAAAACCCAGATCATGTAGTACTGTAATCATTTTTTTCCCCCTCCTTTAATAGTGATTTCATTTATTCAAGACACTATTATGGGAAGTTGACAATAATGGATGACTTTAGTGAACACAGACAAGATTTTTATGTTTTCAATCAGTACATGGCAATATCCCAGTTTAACTGTAGGTAGTCTATTAAGTATCTGGAAAGACACTTAGTCTTCTGGACAGACTCCACAAATCCTCTGCACCTAACATTCAAAACTACACAAATCAAAAGCCTTTATTTTCCATCCCCTCTTAGTCTGAGCTCATTAACAATCTTGTAGGATTCATCTCTCCCTACTCCTGTGGCAAGCAATCTTGAAAGGAAGCTCCAAGAATGGTAAAATACGCACCCTCCACATCCAGCATAAACTAATGTAGCCCTGTATTCCACCAGCAAACTCCTCCTAGGTGCCCGAATTTGGTGTTCCAGCCAAGTTATCCATCATAAACTGAATGTTTGAATGAGCTGGGAGCAGTGTGGTGCTGCACAATCCAACTGTGCTTCCAATGCCATTAAGGTATTTGTACCTTAAGTCCTCCCAAGGGATGATTGTGAGTCACCCATCCTGGTGCCTTGGACAAACCCATTTCCAAGGGCAGTGCAGAAAGCCAGACAATCTGCTTCCTATTCTATTTGCACACAAGTTTGTACCAGTAGATCATAGAAAACCTTGAGCAAGAACTCTGGTATAAAGTATCCTCTAATTAGCACTCACACCTACCAAGGGTAACTACCAAAACCCCTTAAGTCAAACATGACAAATCCTGCATTCAATAAAAGGTAGGTATACTTGTTTAGCTTTTGAGGGTGTACAGAGACATCAACTTTGTGAATAACATGACCTGCAACATCCTGTGTTAAAATTCTATTGTGCACTTTAAAAAGTCAGGGACTTTTTTCCTTTCAGTATGGTTGTTTATATTGCCTTTCAGGGGCCTTGCCAACCTATTACTCTCACCAAAAGAAATAAAAAAAATTAACAAACATCTAGACCTGACCAGACATAAGTCCTGTTTTTAAGGCACTGCCTTTATTCTGGTCCGTGTTCTATGAAGAAGCAAGGACTGAGCACAGGGACTACATGTACAGAGAAAAACTGTCTGGCTGGCTTTTGTTATGTATTATTACTTGCTACAACAGGATCAGACATAAAAGAAAGACTGTAGGACACCTTATTCTCATCTCTTTAATAGTACATATACTTAAGTAAAGAAAAAAATTCACAATTGCAAACAGCATCCCAATTACTTAACCTTTTGAGACTGGGAGCTTGAGAATATAATTTTGTGACCATTAAAGCCTTTCTGATAGAAAATCCATTCTTCTGCATAAACATTTTCCTTGCACTAGGGCTGAGAGATGAGACAATACTTTTTCTCCCAATGCCCTTTGCAACAGCCTTCTCAGTGCTGCTCAGGTCATGTCACTCATGTGTGGAAGCTGCAGAACTGTACAAGGCTTAAAACCCCAGCAGAGACAACCCTGCCATCACCCTCTTCCTCCACCAGAAACAAGGAAAGCTGCTTGAAAAGTAGCACTGAGAGATGTACTCTTTCAGCATACCTGTTCATATCCTTCAGAGTTATCTTAGAGATTTCTTATTTCAGTATGAAAGGTGATGGCAATATGACAGATCTGTAGATATTTTTAGTACTTCTCTGGGAAAAATCTTTTTTTGACACCTTGTTACAATTATTTAAAGTTCTGTTGAAGACAGAGATAAAGATCCAGCATGTAGATAAGATACATTTACCATCCATCTCATCAACATACTCTTCACAGTTTATGCCTATGGGGTATTTTATTAAGCCCTAAGTTAGGAATAGGCCTTAAAATGGCCTATTCTTTAATTAAAATAGCTGATACATGTCATCTAGTATTAGAAGAATTTTACTGTTGTGTTTTATAAATCAAAACTCCAGTTTCATCACATAACAGATCAGTGCCCTTAAAGGTTTATTTTAAACCTGTTATCTCATATGAGGTGAGAAGCAGGCCCATGATGTTCCTCTAAAAACCAAAGGCAGTGTAGTGGAGAGCACATTTCTGTGAAAAAGACAAACATGTTAACACATTTCCAGGCAGAGATGCCACAGTGCATCTGTGCCACACAGGTACTCCAGCTGGGCAGGAGGCTGCTCTGGCAGGAGCACTTGGGGAAGTCTTGACAATCATCCAGCAAATGGAGAGAAGAATTCTCAAGAGCTGCAGAGAAATCTGGGGCAGAAAAAAAAGCAGTAACTTGTGTGTCTGTGAGGCTGAATGGAAAAAATATTACAAGCTGCTGGATTGTTTGAGCAATCACTAGTAACACTCAATAATTCAGACTGTGTTTTTCCTTTATCAAAATTATTACATTTAGCAAGAGTTTTTAATCTCATACCAGCTTCAAATTTACTTTTATCCAAAGGCATTCAAAACTTCAAGGAGACTATGACTAACAAATTATTGTTAGAACAGCAAGTCTCTCAAAGCAACCAAAAACCTTTATAACATTTGTCCATAAGGAGAAGTAGAAAACAGCAATGAAATCTGCTGGGGAAGAAGAAAGCAACAACAGCAGGAATTTTTAGTTTCAGCACAAAGCATCAGTGTTAAACATTTGATAAGTCTCATGGTTTTGTTCTGAAAATAGATGAGAGGGAGTGTTTTCGTGCATGACTAGTCACAGAGCAAATAAATTCATGCTTAAAAAATATAGCTTATGCACAGATGGCTGCAGAACAATTACTATGTATTAGTGTTTCTCATTCCATATTAAACTTGTGATGTACTAGAAACTCCCTCTTCTCCCACTCTGAAGACTTCTCTGAGAGATTTTAATGCATCATTACTTCAATAATTATGACATGGCCATATTGCATTTAACCTTGTTTTATTCCTCCAAATGCATAATAATTCTCTTTCTTCTTATCCAGTTCCTTTCATTTAACGAAGTTACAGTCTTCTTGTAGTGATAAGGAAGTAGGCAGTCAGATGCCATCTGGCAATACAACAGCCTGCTTGCTGTCCACACACATCATCCAGCGTTTAAAAAAAAAATAAAAAAAAAAAAAAGGAAAGCGAATAGCCAGGCTATCTATCTGCAATTTAAGCAGCAAATATCTGAAGGTGTCATGCATTCACTGGAGCCTGTGGTTTTGGTACATGTGCCATTCATTCATCTGGACACTCAGCCTGTAATGAGGACACACCAGACACACTGCAAGGATTCCAAAACCAGATACAGCAATTCTGATAAAATGCAGACCTGACATTCAGATTACAGCTCTTTCAGATCAGATTGAATTTACAATAAGGAAACAATTAGTGACAAAAGCAGACTTGAATATGTAGACTCATTTTCTCCTGTTCTATTCTAGAAGAATGTGAAAAGTAACACCCCTAATGCTGTTCTTCCTATTATGCTATTTACTCTAGAATGCTTCACTTTTGTGAAAAGATTTAAATTGAGTTGCAAAAATATATACTTGGTTATGGGGTCCTTTTTTTAAAATTCAGTTTTCACTTATTTGGTCTATTCTGGGCACACAATCTATTCATATTGGTGACTCGTTTTTTGTCTTCAAAATATAACTTGCCCAAGTGCTGTTTTGCCCATCTATCATGTTCTCTCTTTTCATGATTAGAAGACTTTGACAGCAGATTGATGTTATGTACATTTCCAAAGGCAGCTGAAAAATTGCATACATTTTTAGTTTTTTTGAAAGCTACACTAATATAGTTTATTCTCCAAGACAGGACTGTCAAACAGTACTTTGGTTTTGCAAAATTGAGTCACTTTATGTCAGATCTGAAAATAAAAACCCATTTGGCTATTTAGGCTTTTATCAAAATGCTCTCCTCTTTCTCCCAGTTCTCAGGGAAGCTGAGCACTGAGCTCACACTTGAGTACCACATAATAGAGCTCTGACCCAACTCAAACAGCTGAGCCTTTACCTGTGAGCATCCCAGAGTCCCTCCTGCCAGGCTACACCTTCATTTACCAGATTATGATGCACAAAGAGCACAAATGACAGCACACTGGGAGAGGAGGCAGATCTGCTGGAAGAAGGAGCTTCCTCATGGACTCACCTTGGCAGTGTGAACGGCAAGCAAGCCAACAAGGCCTGGGTGAAGTTTAACAAAGATAAATGCTGAATGCTGCACCTGGGATGCAGCAATCCCAGCCAGCACTTGAAGGCACAGCTTGGGTGGTCCTGATGGGTGGCAACCTGGATGTGTTTCAGCAGGGTGCTCCAGCAGCAGGGAAGGCAAACCTTGTCACAGGTTGCATTAACAAGAGGACAATCAGCCAATGGAAAGCTGTGATTACTCCAGTCCATTTGGCACTTGTTAGGGCACATCTGTAGCACCAGGTCAAGGCCTGGACTCCTCACTTCAAGAAAGACACAAAAAACTTGGAAAGAAAAGAGCCATCAATATGATGAGAGGGTAGTAGGGCTCGACAGATGAAACGAAATGGAAGGAACAGGGTATGTTCAAGCCTAGAGAAGACTTGAGAGAATCTAATCACATTTTTCCAATACCTGAAATGTAATTTACAGAGGAAAGACAGAAATTACTACCACAAGGATGCACAGGAACAAATACAAGTAATGGATGCAAATAATTTTGGAAGAAAAACCATATGATAAGAAAAAATTGTACAACATGAGAAAAAATAAACATTAGAATAGGTTGTCCCATTTCCCTTGCTGGAAATGATGAGATTTGACAGGAACCTGCATAACACAATTAAAGGCCCAGCTTTCAGCAAAAGGTTGGACTGTGCAATCTCCAGAGGTCCCTGCCAGCCTCAGCTTTTGCTTGGTTCTGCTGTGCTATGCAGGTCTGTTGGCTGGTCCATGTTCAAAGGTGACAGACAGAAACTTGAGAGAGTAAATCTCTGAAAAGAAACAAGAGTCAAAGGCAAGAAGATGCTACTCCCAGCTCTAACCAGGATGGTGAAGCTCCTTGGCATGAAGAAATACTTGTTGTTGTTTTCTACAGAATTACACACCAGTAACTTTTGATACAGGGTCAAAAACAGACCAGTAACTATGTAAAAGTTGTTCCATATCTCAGAATAAAATATTTTATTAATTTGAATATAAAATAATTCAGGACCAGCACTTTATTATTTTCCATCTTGTGCTGCCTGTGAAAATCTGTGTCATTTTTACTTCTACTTTCCTGACTCCTCTCCTCAAATTTCAGGGGGTTGGGATTGTTCTGAACCCAGTGTATGGTGAGGTGCTTTGGGCCCCCTCTCCAACAGAATGCCCACCTTGTCGGCCAGGCTGAGCACAGCTCAGGAAGCACCACATCCCCTTCTCCCTGCCTGCATGCTGCCAGAGACAGAAATCCTAAGAGAGGAAGAGAGCCTGGGAAGGGAGAAAGAGAAACCAAACAGGTTAAAGAGCTAGTTCCATGGCAGTAAATCACTGATTACACTGTTCCCTCTGTCTGCTAGCTGTAGAAAAATGTCCAAAAATGCAGAAGTCTGTCTGGTGAAATCTATTGCTATCACACTTATTGCTCAGCATTACACGAATAAAATTGTATTTCATAGGGTTGTGATTATAAAAGAAGAGAAAAAGAAAGAACAGAAGATACTCAAATGGGCATTATAGCTGTGGGTACATAAGTCACATTTCACACAGCTACCAAAGGATGGAGGGATGGGAAAGTGAGGGAGTGAAATAAAAATTGATTCACATTAAGTAACTCTTCCCAAAGATGTAAAAGGTTTTTGACCAAGTGCAAAAAGGAATTATTGTGACAGCTACTCATGTACATTCCCACCAGCACTGCCGAGGTGACAACCTGTGCTAACTGGTTCCTACTCACTGCCCAAATTTCTGCAGCTCCTGTTTGAATGCATGACTTCTTCCCCTGTCTGTATGCAGAGTGTTGCTATCCCACGTTGGATTCTCAGCTTTCCCACTGGGGGCTGGATGCACACATAACAAGCATAAATACTCAGGCTTTGCAGTCCCCAAGTCCCCTCAGTGTCTAGGCACTCTTCAGAAGCTGCCTTGCTTTTTCACTCACAGCATAATAATATTAAGCTATTTGCTTAAAAAAAAAATCAATTTAAAAAAAAATAAAGATTTAAGTTATTTTCTCTCTTCCAACTAGTAATTATTTCAACCCCAGAGAGAAAAAAACCCCAAATATCTAACTATCAACATAATTTTAAATTCTAAATTTAGCATTAAAAATTGCTTCTGGAGATCAGGAGGGCTAAACTCTGACATACAAATATTACCCATGAAGAAAAAAGCCTTTACGTTCCACCCCTAAGTCATTCCTGATGGCAAATAAAGCTCATTTTGTCATTGAAAATGCTGTTCAGTGCAGTCTTTCAACAATGCAGTTATGTGAGTTAGAAAGGAAACATCAGCCGTGTTTCAAAACCATTTTATCCAGAGTGTTTCCAGAGCACTGAGAAACCCTCTAATTCCTGATTTAATATGTAACAGGGCTTTCAGGAGAGGCAGGAATCCAAATCTTTACTTAGTGCCCCAGATTTACACAAATGCTACTAATGCAATTTAAATGTCTTCAACGTTAAAACATTATCAGTACTCCCTCTAGTGGGTGTCCTAAACGAAGCAAACATTCCCTGCTGACTTCCGAGGGAAATATTTTATTGTCTATAAAGTTTATCTGAAATTGAAGGACAGAATTGCTGCTCAGCAAACAGGGTTGTTACCGAGAATCCCAGGACATTTTGTTTCCTTAGGAAATGCAGGGGGCCGGCAGCAGCCAGCACTTCACTTTTTGTGGAACTGGCAGGAGCAAGCCAGATACAGGAAAAACCTGGTTCTAAAGAAGCAGAACTTGAAGACATTGGTTTCCTTTGGATGTGCATCCTGCATCCCTGCACAGCCCTTCACAAATCCATCAGGATCCCACATCCTCACACAAACTCTTGTTCCTGCCTTGGTCTCCCCCCAGACAGCAGCACCTGGGCCTTGCCTTTTTGGTTCATTTTCTACTCCACTGGCTGAACAGAGAAAACAGAGAGAAGGATGGAAAATATTAGAAGACCCCCCCCCCCGCCATTGCCAAAATCTCAAGATCTCAAGGGGGAAGATTTTAGGGAATAAAAGGTCCCCATCTCCCAGTCCTCCCGAGAGGAATAGCAGGCACTATCATTTCACCAGATTTACTGTCCCAGCATTAAATTCTGACTGGTTTGAATGAACAAAGCAAATAACAAAGCTCTTGTTGAAATCCAAATCCTTGCTTTTTCATTAAGAGAAAATTATGAGAAAAGTGGTGCAGAATTAGAAACACTAATTGAAAGCATTGCATTGATTTGTGTGATCATTTTATATACTTTCTGAGTCAAAATTTAGCTTCTTTTGCTCCTCTAATAGAAGAAGAATTGGAAATGCACACCATGAACAGAGAGGAACCTTCTGGATGTAAATCACTACCAGATTAAGCAATGGCAGCAAGTTATTTATGAATACATTGCATTGTTCCTGTGTTTTAAACCACAAGTTCTGTTGAAAACAACTTTCCAGCTGATTGAATAATTTAAAATGTCATCTTAAAAGACGTCCAGTTTTGAAGGGTTTAATACATGTTTTTAGAATGGGAAAAATTATGTGCTACTTTATAAAAATAGCTGTATCAAGAGCATATTCATGTTCTACATTTCAGAGCTAGCACACTATTATCTCATCATAGAGAAGCTACTTAAGATTAAAGCAGCTTGTTTAAGAAGCTCAGAGGTTTGTGTGATCTCCTTCAAAATTTATTGGGAAAAAAAATATCTCTAAATATACTGATGAGGAAACAGTCTTGTTTTCTCTGGGCTGCTGCTAGTCCCTTATTTTTTTGTGCCTTACACCCATCTCCTCACCTTCAAGGACTCTGTATTCTACATTATTGTTTGCAGAGCCATAAACCCACCATGGATCAGCCCCTATGAAGGCATTGGTGCTGGAACCTCCCTCACACTCCTTTTTTTCTGAATATGAGATGGCAATAATACTCCAGTCATTGATATTACCCTTATTCCAGGTGAGTTGCTAACGTAGCTGTCTCAGCCACAATTCCAAATACAAATGCAATCTTTCTCTTCCAGTTATCTTTGAGGGAAGAAACAGCACAGTTTACCTGCTCATGTAAAATAAGAGGACACCAAAATTAAAATGTGGAACCAAAAAACTTTGCTTTAGAAAGCAAATAGCCATACAAGAGGAAGAGAAGATCAAGCCTTAACTATGACAGAAAACTGCTGTATTTAATATCTTATATAGTCTGTGGGCAAAGTGGCACAACTGGAGTTTAAAACCTTTACAAGAGAAACAAAATAAACAGAAGGGGAAAATCACTGTAATGAGTGATTTTGAGTGAGAATGATTTCTAAAATCCAACCCAGATTGGATCTTCAATTATCCTAATTCAGGATTTATCCTTCATTAGTCATCAGACATCAGAACAGGACCATAATACCTAGATCTTCTTTTTTCCAAGAATAACAATTTCATGCTGAAAGACACATAAACTGTTACATTTCTGTACTTGCACTTCTCAAATTGTTATGAAAGTATCTGCACAAGAAAACCAAAGGTTTTGAAAACTGGCTTTTTAATTTTTGTTATGCTTCTCTGTATCCAGATGCTACTGGGCTTTTGCACTCCTCACGTGCAAGAGGAAGGCATTGCTCTGCCCATGTCCAAAACTGGGGAAAATTGGTCTCATTTCCAGAGACTACAAGACCAGAAGAAAAATAAACTTAAACTTACAGTCAAAGTGACTAAAAAAGTCCCAGTAATCTGATAACAATGAAAATGTGGTTGATCACAGAGAAGATTATTCTAAGTTGCATTTGTCCAATCTATGAAAATGTATTTGCCATTTAGCCTGCACAGCTGAGATGCTGTGTTAGCTGTAAAACAAGAAATGTTGTAAAACAAAAGTCAGCATGCTAACGAATCTGAATGTCAAGAATCAAGTAAAAATAGAACTGTTTCATGAGCAAAGTGGTGACATTTATAGCATTTCCCATTAATTACAGGCCGTGGGGCTCTTTCAGCTAAGTGTGGGAAATGTTAACATGACTATGAATTCAGTCACAGAAACCAAGCTTAACAAGCAAAAATATGTAAAGAAAGGTGATACAGCCTTAAATAGAGCATTTCACCTTTCCAAATAGCCATTCTTCTGACCTTTTGATGACATCTATGCAGTTAAGACAGATTCAAATCTGAAGAAAATACTTAAATAGACAAAAGAAAAGCAGGGCACCGTCCCCACAAGGTATTTGAAATGTTTCTGAAATTCTTCTTCATGATCCAGTAATCTACAGCAGGGTACCAGCTGACCATATACTGAAATCTGAAAAAAACATGAAAGTGTTTCCACACTAACAGGAAAAAAGATTTCTGGATATCAGGAAATGTGAAATAATTATGGAATTGCAGAACAGTTAAGTTTGGAAAATACCTCCAAGATCATTGAGTCCAACTGTTAATGTAGCACTGCCATGTTACCATCAAACCATGTCCCCAGGTGCCACAGTCACTTGTGGGTTTTATGAAAAAAGAAAGAATAGCATGATGCGCCATTTGCACAGAATAAGTAGAAAATAGTTATATATACATATGCATACACACATAGATACTCTCAGTAACCCTCCAGTGCAACCAGCATATATGCATACATTGTGAAGGAATTAATTACAGGCAAAATGAAAACTTCTAAAATTGGTATTTCTAGACATTTTGTGTATTTTGCTGTAAAGTCTAGATTACTGTGGGTTAAAAAAAATGTTTAGGGATTTTTATTAAAACAAAAGGTAATTCCCTTTCTCAAAATGGAGCATTGAGTTTTGAAGAGAATTGGGTTTGGGTAGAATACGCTGTTACAATGCTTTGCATATATTAATGCAAATCACAGATGCTAAAGAGAATTAAAAAACTATTCCCAGAGAGATTAATCCAAAATTAAAATTTATTCTGCACCAAGTTAAATAGGCCATACTGAGTCCTTCTTTTCCTATTGCAAATAAAGTGTAATTTCAGACTCTGAATTTCTTGTATTCTTGTAATCATGATGAGTTAATAAATGGTTAATACATAGGTGTAGTATTTTTACGGAATCCTTGTTTTATGCTATGTGCTACATATGTACACACTAACTGTACATATTCCAACAATTTTATATCAAATGGGGATGGTTTATAAGGAATGTTCTGTTTTCATTCTGGAAGCCATTTTTTCCCTTTACTTGAGACATTTTGCTATTCCTAGCAGCTCATCCTGCTGGAGGCTTTTGACTAATAAAATGAGTCACATTGAATGCTGTAATACCCCTTCACCTCCACAGAAGCACTTATGCAAAACTTGCTCTTCTGTATCCCAAAATCCTTTCTTTTCCCCCTTAAGGAGAGCATCATTGTACATATTCCCAGTGACCCTGAGCTGAAAGAAAATCAACATGTGCTGTAGCTGGCAGTTTTACAACTGTTGGTCAAAACACTCCAAACTAAAACTGCAATAATATTCTCTAGAAAGAGGCTCAGTCTTCTTCCCTCTGAGGCATCCATTCAAACTCCAAATTTCAGCCATTATCAGCAGCAGAAACACACAAAGGCAGATGGAAAAGTTGACCAAGAAGCCTCTAAATACACAGGGAAACAGAAGAGAAAAAACCCTCAGAGTGAAGACTGAGTTTTATTCAGCATGATCAGAATTTTAAAAATATTCCCTCCAGCTGAAAACTTTAGTAAAAGAGGCTTCATTAATTTTTTGCCAGGGCCTTCAAATAGAAGCAGTTGAACTCCACAGGACAGAGGATTTCTCAGTATGCTGGGAGAAACCACTTGTCTTTTCAGACCAGCAGAAAATGAGCCTGGTAATTATTCTGCATACCCTGATGGAGATTGCAACAAAACAGATGGCAATAATCAAGAGAGGAGATGAATTTTAACTCTGAGGGCAGGTGGGGAGAAAAAAGGCAAGTCTTGGCACAGCAGGGAGAAGCAGTTCTGTGTGAAGAGACAGTGGAAACACAAGCTGCCCTGTATGAAGCCAGCAGCAGTAGGTGTCCTGTTGTTGCTCCAGGTGGATGTTCCTGGACACACGGCCGGGCACCGCCGCCGGTTCCATCTGACAGAGGGAGATGTGCACACCTCGTCTGACTCACACAGCCACCAGGCAGCTCCTTCCTTCAGAGCCCTCCTGATTTGCTGTGCTGCCTGTAGCATCCCTTTGTCTGCTGAAAGAATCCCTGAAGTGAAACGCTTCCCAGGCTGGGAGCTGCTGCTCCTGGGGATGCGGCCATCCAGGCCCAACATTCCTCAAAGAAAAACACACACTTGATGTACAGCTGAAAATAGAGACCTCAAAATAGATTACCCCAGCTTACTGTCTTCAAAGCAAAATCTCTTTATCTATTCATCTTTTGTGAGTTAAAACAATTCTCAAAAAAACCTGCAAGGGTTAAACTTTAATCTGTTAGGAGTTATTGCGATTTTTTCCCTTTGACAATTACCACTTGTTAAGAACTAATTGGTTTATGAATAACTTAAATGGCCTTTTATTATTCAGAGGAAAACTTTTGATACTTCGCATCTAATAAAGGCAGTTTGTGTAGATAAAATCTTCATCTAAATTACCCATCTAAAACTTCATTTCTGTTGTTCATTCTATACAGTGAGTAAAGGAAACCTTAAAATCAAATTCATGAAGGAACTGTATTTTAGAAATTCATTTTAACTCCATTCTAATCAAATTATTTGTATAATCAAATACATGGCTACGAAATTCTTGTATATAGACAATGAAAACAATCTGCAAAGAGTAATTTACAAAGCTACTTGTCTTCAAAATAACAATTAAGAAAACCTTCTTTTTTTGTTTTCAATGCTATAAACAATGTATATAGCCTTTTAGTAACCCACTAACAGTGGCTTATGGTTCAACTGAAAACTATTCTGGTTTATTTCCTCTTGGTGCAGGTAATTTATCAATACAGCATTGTTACAAATTCCTACAAAAAAATGTAGCTGCTGTGCAGAGCTTCAGTTAAGCTTGCCCATACAATTACAGGAGGAAATGTATTCACAAAGTGTTTGCAGTCAATATTTCATATCACTCTAATATTTTTTTTCATTCCTCTCTGGAGATAAACACTTGGCATTGTCCTAGGTTTTAGACATTGCTTTTAAAAAATTTTCAGGAATCTCTTCTCATGGAATTTCCCTCAATTGTGAAAAGCTTTTGTCCCCTTTTTCACTAAGCTGTCTAGAATTAGACTTTCTGGACTGTCTAGAAGAGCCTCAGTGCTGCTATCATATTGCTATTATTATATTTCTAGAATCCCATACCTTCTGAGTGATTTTTCCACACACAGTGCTTCATCAGAACACCTCCAAGGCTCTCCCTGACCAGCCAGCCCACCCCCTGTTATCCCAGTTATCTTCATTAGCTACAGCTGCCACCCAGTTAAGGGCATCACAGCTGCAGCCCATTTAGAACAACTAGGATTGGGGCAAGGCCATTTATACAATACATACATTTTACCGAGACTCATAGGCCACTTATACAATGCATATATTTTACTATGGCTCAAAGGCCACCTATACAATACATACTAAGATTCAATGGCCACCTATACCTCAGGAGTTAAAGTAGATGAGTGTGGGAAGTACCACAATACAAGAATGAGTGAATTTGAGATAGAATAGTATATATACATTAAATAGTTATTAGGTTAACATTTTTAGTCAAGAGCTCAGGTTTGACAATAACCTGAGGTTTGTACTTTGCATATGTGTGGTATAGCTGCAGGGACATGTAAAGAGAGCAGCTTTGGAGCGGGACCTAAATTTCCCAATTCTGATTCAGAGCTGCCTACAGAGCCTCTGTAGAGTCAGTCCCACAGCAGTATAAGATGGATTTTTCAATTAAGTTTTCATCAGACAAGTGTTCAGATACTGCCTTGTTGTTTGGGCTGCTTTAAAGATGGATTTGTATCTGTTTTCCTTCCAAATGGAATCCAGTTCCTTAAGTCAGGAAATGTCAGGAGGAGTCAATATTACTGATTTATGCAAATAGATTAT